TTTTGTGTGTGTGTGTGTGTGTCCATTTCTGCCACCAGCCTGTTGATGAACTATGATAACGTGGAGCTGGCTTTCTGTGATGCAGACAGTCTCCCTGAAGCCTTCAGAAAGAGCAAGAAGGGCAGCGTCTACCTAACTCCGTACAGGGTGAGAGACGAGACGAGACCCAGACGTCTTATTTGGCATTTGGTCTCACCATCGTGCTGCCTTTTTGCTGTCACCGTTGAGCGCAAGTACACAACAACCTGCAGAACTCTGGTTCCATTAATAAGCAGGTTTAGCTTTCCCATGTCCTATAAAGCAGCAGACGATGCTAGTTTCTGTTGTTTCCTCTCAGGTGATCTTCGTGGCTAAAGGACGGGATGCCCTGCAGTCCTTCATGATGCCCTTCTACCTAATGAAGGGCTGTGAGATCAAACAACCTGTATTGGGAGCCAATTATATCAAGGGCACTGTCACCGCCGAGCCTGGAGGTAGGTTTATGTGTGCGCAGGTACATGTGTGTCAGTTATAAACGTACAGTATTCTGTGTCTGCTGTAACTACGTGGACCCCTCCAATCTCTCTTACAGGTGGCTGGGAGGGCACTGCTACGTTCAAGTTTGTCTTTGCTGCTGGCGGAGCGATAGAGTTTGGCCAGTACATGCTGCAGGTGGCAGCTCAAGGTACAGTTACTACCGGTGTCATGAAACTCTTGTGGAAGAACTGATGTTTTGGCTGACTTCCCTCTATTGTTTCTTCATCCTTTCCCTTCTCCTCCCCCTTTGTGTCTCGCAGCTTCAAGAGGTCAGCCGGTGACTTCTGGCTTTGGTGGATGCCCCTACATGGCCAACGGGGCCTACGCTTACCCTCCTCCCCCTGCTAACGGCATGTACCCTGCCGGACCTCCACCCGGCTACTCCTACCCCAACCCTCCTCCACAAGGTAGGGGCTGTAATAATTGCCGTCATTGTGATCACCACGTTGATTTCTCAATGCAAATCTCCTTCAAGTCTTGTGGAAGTGTTCACTGCAGCTGGTCTTATTAGACTATGTGCTCCTGCCGTCCAGGTGGCTTCTACCCCAGCCCTCCAGCGTTTGATGCCTCTGCGGCTTACATACCTCCGCCTCCTTATTCTGCTCCTCTGGGCCAGCAGCCCCCACATGACCCAGACCTCCCCTCCTCAGCAGCAGGTGCGTCTCTCTGGCCAAGAGGCTCTGGTTTGTAGCCAGGTGGTGATCACTCTGGTTCATTCCAGGTGTAAATAAAAATGAGAATGTAAAGGAACTGTTGGCTCTGAGTTGATTTAGGAAGCTTACCGTGGGACTTAAATGATCAAAATAGTTGCTGATTAGTTTTAATTGACTCATGGATTTGACTAAACGTTTAATCTCTAGTCGTGTTTTACAAAATTGTTATGTGACAATTATATAATAGAAACTAACGAAATGAGTTATTGAAGTTTTTGTGAGAGTTTTGTCTAATGTTAAGCATATCAGTGGAACAGTTACATTTTATTTTGCAAACATTGGCCATATTTTGATATATGTCAACATTGCAAATATGGTTTTTTAATATAATTTAATATAGCATTTTATTGTGTTTATATAGTTACAGGGCATACAAAAAAAGAAACAATAAAATAACTGATTACATAAATATCAGTTTGTAGGGTATAGTTGATTGATTACTGATGAATTCACATCAGAGGACACATTATACTAGTAACCGGGTAGCATAAATACCTCCACTCACAAGTAATTACCCTTCCCTCTAATGGGAGGATCATTAGAAACAGAGCTGCGACGTCATGTCATTCACCAAATTACTCAGCAACTACTTTTACAAATGACCAATCGTCATTTTTCAATAAAACGTCCAAACTCGGCTTCTGGAATGTAAATACTCTCTCTTCAGACCTCTGTGACAGCAAACTGAATATCTGTAGCTCGAGGACAAAACAAGGCATTCGAGGATCCAATTTTAGGGTATTGGGGAACGGTGATCCACAGTTTTGATTGATTTAATTGGTTAATCGAAAACGTTTTTTTTTATTTTTATATTCCATATTTTTATTTACAGGAAAAGTATTGGCAGGTTTACACTTTTAACAGGTTAAGAAAAAAAATCCATATATAAAGTCCATATAGTAATATTTCCATTAGCCGAAGCCACACAATAACACTTTATTCATTTTGCCTATATTTCCTTTCCCCCTCTTCATTGCACCACTCTCCGTACCTCAGGCTTGATTAGCTCCAGTCGTCTCGTATATCCCAGGGATTAATGGTAAAACCATGTTTAATTAACGTCCCCTCCCCTCCTCTCTTTCCCAGCGGAGGCCAAAGCAGCTGAGGCAGCAGCGAGCGCCAGCTGTGCCACACTGCCTCATACACACGTGTACCTGCCGCAGGTAAGATAAGAGGTTCCTTTATTGATCCCCCTTACGGGAAATTCAAATGTCAGCTGCCCTCCATCACTCTGCTATGCATCTGATGTTGAGCTGATTTATCAGCAGTTTGCTACATATTGGGTTTGATGTGGTCTTTTTTTATTACAGGTCAGGTGTGAGCTAGTTGGTGTCACTCACCTGTAGCAGTTAAATCGTACCCTTTGAGAAACAACCATTTGCTTCCTTTCATACATTTTGCATCAAACGCTTTAAAGGTCCAGTGTGTAGGGTTAATGGCATCTGGCGGTGAAGTTGCAGATTGCAAACTGAACACCGCTCTCACCTGTATTGGATGACCTGGGAATGAGAACAGGCTGTGAGTTGTGTGTAGGAGAAACTACGGTGGCCATGAAACTCTAGGCCCTAGCTACAGCCAGTGTGTGGTTTGTCCCTTGTGGGCTACTGTAGAAACATGGCGGCCTCTGTAGAAGAGACCCTCTCCATCTGTAGATAAAAACGGCAAACAATTCCTATATTGAGCTGATTATACACTAATGAAAACATACCTATGAATATTATATTCCATTTCTGTCATTAGATCCTCCTTAATGTTACACACTGGACCAAAAAGCTTTGTCCAACTTCTGAAATATGCAGATAGTGGTGTGTTCTTGATACTATGAACAAATTTGAACTAAAATTAGATGTTTAAAAAATTGCAATATATCACAATGTACTGAATTGTAATCCCTGTATCACGATACGTATCATATTGCCAAATCCACAGCGCTACCTTTTATGGTGTATTAAAATGTATTGAACTAAAGTGGGGGAACAGTCTTAAATTCGTGCCGCAGCAGAAATCCTGAAGGCCTTTAACATGCTCAGGATGGATTATTGTACAGCACTGTCTCAAACCATACCTCTCCTCTCTCCATAGGACAAGCCTCCTCCCTACTCCCCCCCAGAGGACAAGAAGAACCAGTAGACGGGCTTGTTCTCACCCTCATTCCTCTCTGTCTCTCTGTAACCTCCATCCATACTGGATCACCCTGTTTCTTATTCCATTAACTGGACATCGGGAAGGCCAAAGTTTTCCTTTGTAACATGAATTCTCTCTTTCTCACCTTCCCAGTCCCCTTCCAGCTCAGTCCTTTTGGTTTCCCTTTTTTCTTCTCACATCGCTTTCCCACCTCAACCTATACCTTTTACATCCCTTTTAATGATTCATATATTGTAATCAGCTTCGTTCTCTTCAGAAGCACCTTTACTTGATGGAAACTAGAAGTATTGGTAGCAACAAGAAGATTGTTCCGACAGAAGTTGGTGGCTTTTTTCAATGTAGTTGACAGAACCTTTATAACCTGACCAGCTATCTTAGCGTTCATTGCCTTGCAGGTGTCCCAAACTTTAGATTCAGCTATGCTGTGAAGCTCACGTATAATTTTCCATGACTGTCTATCAAACTAGACTGAATCGGATGATGTTAATTACTTTGCTAATCTATTCAGAGGCAAGCTGAATGCAGTGTTTTATTTTTCTATTATTTGTGTGTACAGGCTTGTAATATGTATACTTTAAAAAAAAATGCAATATTTTCTCAAGAACACTAACCTAGAGGAGAAACTAGCTTTTGTAAAGAGAGCAGATTGTGGGGTGGCCCGGTCTGCTTCGACATGTTTTAGCGGATGACAGGGACCGCGAAGATTAGAGCATCGCCAAGCCCCAGCGGTGAATCCCTGATCCTGGATTAGAGCAGAGAGCGAGGGCGACCAGGGCCCGGAGGGACGTACTGCCAGGAGGGATTATCTTTGTAATGTACAAGAGCAGAGCAGTCACCCAGTGATGTCACTTCCTGTTTTGTCATGCCTTCGAACATTCGAGAACACACACGGTCAGACTCACCGCCAGCCTGCTTCACCGTTCATTCTTCTAACGTACATTTTAGACAGCATAGAAACAAACAGGACCATTAGAGGGGTTTCTCACTGTTTCTACTTTGTGTGGTTGTGATCTTAACTCTCCAGTTTGAGGTCAGTGTTGATATCTGATCTGAGCACCTCAGTATCTGAGCCTCTACTCTTCCTTCCTCTATGGTAACTAATCTATATACTGTATCTGTGACACATCCGTGGCTGATTATTTGCACTTACAGAATGCTATGCATCAGGCTCCTCTTTGCTCTGTCATGGCTGTGTGTAAAAATAATAATAATAAAGCTCTGTATTTATTTCAAACTAATTTATTGAATAATTCATGTAAAATGGCTCAAGTAAGAAAAACAAAGCATGGTCTCAGCTAATGCATGTATGCATTGGATTGGATTTTATTAAATGGATCTTGACTCATGTGAAACAGAACTGTCTGTCTTTATTTCTACACTGAGCATTGCTATTATCACACATTGATGGGTATTCCACTTTGAACACAGCATAGTGCATTAGGATAATTAAACATATTCCAGAGTCAGCAGGAGGGGTTCTGTTTTACGCCTTTAGGCCAAAAACAGCCTGGAAATGCTTTTCCTTTCTCAGTCAGTAGTCCTCATCTGCGCTTCTGGACAACTTGTGCAAATCCACAGCAGTTTCCCAAAGACTGATGTCCTGAGCCTCGAGTACCTCCACATTCCAAAGGTCACAGCGTTGCCCTCTAAGTGCTCATGATTTTTTTAAAAAAAAGGTAAAAAGCCTGTTAAAAACATTTGTACAGTACAGCAGATTCCATCACAACACTGTCAGCGTCACAGGTTTGAGACTGTACAGGCAGAGCAATTTACTTGTGCATTCATGCTAGAAATAGATAGAAATGTCGTTCCATTTTTTTTTTTCAGGCCTGTACTCTCAGTAGTAATGTACAACACACAACGATTTGGTTTCACCTACATCGCTTATGGTACAACATGGGAGGGTTCAGTTTACCCTGCAGTGGCTTATCGCCCTGTACGCACCATATTATGAACTGTCTCCCATATTTCTGTGGACTGAATTCCAGCAAGAGATGAAAACTAGTTAAGAACATCATTTTTTAGGGTTTTTCTTCTCGTGGCATCTACTTGAACCTAAAAATTAAATTTTCAAAATTCAAGTTTAACCAGGAGAATTGCCAGATTTTCAGACTGCTTGGCCGATATTGTGAAGTCCTTAAAAATGGCTTCTCATAGAATTGCAAAACAGTCTCTCTCTCTTACACTTATTTTGCTGCAATGAAACTTATACGTGTGTGTACTGTTTGTCAGGTTTTCATCCATCTCCAGCTTACAGAAAGGAGACTGGATTTTTAAAAAAGGCAGTGGTCAATTAGAGGCAAACACGCTTATTTGCTTTCTTGCAGAGTTAGAAGATTGTCTGTGTCTGTACTCTTAATATCAAGCCAAAGCCACCAGATGGTTTGCTTAGCTTAGAATAAAGACTGGAATCGGGAGAACAGAGAGCCTGAGCTCACTCTTTAACACATTCCAACTTATTTAAAAATACTACAAAGAGTTGGTTATGAAAGAGTATCAATTTAATACTGACGCCTCTATATGACCTAGATCAACACACAAGAGCGTTAGTGGCAAGATTGGCTATGTCTATATGACTCTCAGTGCTGTACTTCCTGCCACTGGGTCGGATTCTGTTGGATTCTTCTCAAAATCAAAACCTCTTTGGTCCACAGGGGCTGCCAGAATCAACACTAAATGAAAGCCGCTATAAACTATGAAAAACCAAAGTGCTTGGTTGCCAGGCAACAAGATACAACATGTTAATCAGTGAGCTTTATAGGTGCTGGTAGGCAGGTTTTGTTACATGTGGAGAGAGCCAGGCTAGCCAATTCCAGTCTTTGTGCTAAGCTAAGCAGCTAGCTGGCTCTAGGTTTTTATTTACCACAGACGTGATCTTCTCACCTAACTCAGCAAGAAACAAAACAGGCCTATCTTCTAAAAATGACATCTTCAAAGCAGATTAGAGTCAGGCACAGTAAAATCTGACTCACACACTGAAGGTTGTGTATTTGTAAGAGCAGCCAAACTGCACGTGTGCCACACTCGACAATCTGGGGGTTCAAGACAATAATGCAGGAGTAGTTGTAGTGCAGCACTCTAACAGCAACACAGTGGATAAACTGATACCCCTGTGCTCTTCAGAAACCCTCTCCTTTCTAACTAATTACTCATACAACAGCATGTATGTGGATTTAATGAATCAGTGTATTTGATAATGGGACATCAGCCCACCTGTAATAAATGCATATTGCCTTGCAGTGGAACAAGGTGTAGTGAAAGTACAATAATCTGACATACTGAGTTGAGGAGATTGGTTTTTTCCTACCTGAAAGCAGATTATCTAAAACTGAAGTTTATTTCATACATACTAAAGAAAAATCAAACCAGAATGAAGTTGTGCTGTCAGTAAACTACAACGCTAAGGGCCGTTAGGACCAGAGTTTGTGACCATTTTATGTTATTGTCATGATGTATAATGTGAATAAGCCTAGTTTTGGCGTATGACCAGTTTGGGGCCATCCCATTCAGTTCTTCTGCTTAAAACAATGTAGGAAGGCAGTCATTGTAAAAAAGAAGAAGAAGAAAAAAAAAAAGATTAAAAAAACCTCCTAAATGGTTATGGTTGGATCCTCTATGTTGAGTCAGCTAGTGCCCATGTTTGATAGTGCTTATTACTCCGCTCCTCTTTATGAGTCCGCTCATGTGGAGCAGAGGGTGATGCTGACGCCCTCTCCTATCCAGCAGGCGGGGAACAGCTCCTGGGTGAAGGCACAGTGGAAGGCGTGGAGCCTGGTCTGCCCGTCTCCGTAGTAGGTGAGGGTCCCCGCCTCGTAGTCAAGCAGCATGCCGATGCGGCTGTGCTGGGAGTGTCCGGCCAGAGTCTCCCTCCGGCCGTTGTGCCAGGCGCTCAGCTGGTGCTCGTCCAGCTGCAGGCTCCAGGACAGTTCGTTCATACCCACCATGCACCTCTTGCCCTTCTCCTTCCGAGGGATGGTCTCGTAGGTTACCTGTCGAGAGGCGGGGGGTGTTAATTGCGTGTAGTGCATATTTTTATGTGAAATGTTTTGCTAGTTAAAACTATTTTCCTTTTAAAAAGAGATGGTTTTTGAAGCGGGGTTGTGTGAGGTATTGATCCATAGTTATGATAGTGAGGATGCAATGTGAGTGCCTAAGTAAAAGGCTGTCTGATGGCAATGCGGTGGAAATGTTCTTAATATAGTGTACACTTAACGGTATAGATTTTTTTAAGGCGGTATTTGTTTGTGGCTAAAATAGGGGTTTCTGCTGACCCTGTATTCAGCAGTGCATTGCTCTGCTTCTGCAGACTGGGGGCATGCTGACCTCCATTTATTGCAGGTAACACACTGACGACACACTAAACGACCCCATTGACAGTTATTGACAGCTACTGTTACAGTTATTTGTAGATAATGTCAACTTTAGTAAACTGCTCTCACAACAACTGTTCAGACACAGTGTGCGTGGTTCTTTACCCCGAGGTAGGCCCAGGGCTTGGACACCTCCAGCTCCCAGTAGTGCTGTCCGTGTGTGAAGCCCTGAAAGCAGAGCACCTGCCAGGTGTGATCGAAGCGGGCTTCATGGGCTGGGACGGGGCGTGGCCCAGAGGCCAGGTGCTCCGCCCTCCGGTTCTCCTGGGACAGAAACAGGTGCATGTTGGCCGTGCGAGGGTCGAAGGTCAGGGAGCATCGGTCTGTAATGAGGAAGACAGGAATCAGACAGAATGAAGCGGGAACTGATATCTACACTGTTCACATATTTCTTTTCTGTGCCAATAACCTGTGTGACCTTTGACATTTTTGACCTCGTAATGACCTTGTAATTAATGGGATCCAAGCTTATTTCCCTGCTGCACTTTTGCACATCATTAATAATGAATAAGTACCAGGACCAGGACATACTTGGAACAAAGACACATTCTATAATGTTAGATAGGACTTACAAGCACTGAGGCCCTCCTTCCCACCAGGGTGGCATGGAGCAGCTGGACTGGGAACCACGGCGAGGACCGGCCTCTTATCCTGAGGAGATCCTGGAGACCAATGACAAGCTTGAGAAACACAAGAGCAAAGATTGGGGAATAAACTGCTGGCAGATCAAGCTTCAGTTGCTACAGAGGAAACATCATTCCCAGAGGGCAGGTTACCGTCTTTATCCTGACCCACGGCGGTGCTCACAGCTTTCTCTAGGTCCTCGGCCACCAGCTTGGAGACTCGGGACAGGACATCTGTGACGCCGTTTAATCGATCTTGAAGGTTTGGGGTTACATCCGTGGGGATATCCTTGAAACGTGGAACTTCTATGACCGTTGATTCCTGTGAAGAGAGATGCATTTCAGAGAAGACCTTGATGAATATTTTTTTTTATATTTTTGACTTTGAGTTAACCACTGGAAGTGTGTGCTGCAATAAATGTTTAAGCAGCGTTCACACAAAAACTGGCTCATATATACTATAGATATCAACACGTGTGTGTAGATACTGTAGTGGGAGTACAGTTACAATATTATGGTACAAAACAATTGACCCTTGCTAAGTCCCGCCCCTTTTTGAATCTCAATCAACTTGTTCCTTTGATGTACTTATGCTATGTGCTACGCTTGTCTTGTTAAAAAGACAACCAAATTTAGAAGATGGTTTAAAAATAAACGTAACATATATAGTCACATCTAAAGCTAGCTAATATTAACAAAACGCTTACGCGAACTAGCTAACTAATCTACATCAGCTTTTATCTTTTGACCATCTTCTTTCTTGTTTCTCTCACAGTGCTTCTTTTAACTGCGTCTTTGTTATGAGGCACCTACAGCCCCAGACTGAGCTAAATCCATCCTTTTCCACACATCTCACTGTTTCTATATTGTTCTTGTGAATTTCACACTCACAGCGTATGCTTGTTACTCTTCTGCATTACAAAAAAAAAATGCAGCACATGTGACCTTAGAAGACTTCATCCTCAGTTGGAATTGCAGATTTTGCTGGTTTGACAAGGGTGAGCACAGCCATCCTTCATTATGTAAAACCGCTTGTGAGTAATATACTGTTTTGCCACCAAACTTAAGTCTGGATGTCAAACCTTCCACCGGGTGAGCACACTCAGCCAGCTCTGGTTTCAGGAGTGCGTAAACTCCAAGTCATGTAGTCATGTAATGAGACAATACACTACATATGGAACGAGCAATTCTCTGTTGAGATCACAGGAATAAATATTAGGTCGGTACGTCCTGACTTTTCTTCCGCTTTCTACCTTGCAGTGCAATACAGTCAAAGTGCTACATTACAGCCCTTCCATTTGAGCCAAATGAACGACAGTGTAAAGACAGGGGTACAAACCTTGATGAGATCTGTATCAGAGAGGTTGCGCACGGCTGCTATCTGCCCCCGGCTCTCTTGGAGTATCCTGGAGCGCTCCTGGAGTTCAGCCAGCCGCGCCTCCGCCTCACTGATGGCGGCTTCTTGCTGCTCGTCAATGAAGAGCTCTGTGGCCTCCTGCTTCTCAGCCAGTATTTTCATCAGGGTGGAGAACTTGACCTTGACCCAGGTGGAAGTCTGCTCAAGAGTCACCTGTTGGAGGAAAAATGCAGATTCATATGCCTGCTTAGTTTCTGCTCTTTTTTATTCATCTACAATAATATCAAGTTCAATTGTTTTCTGAGCTGCAGCTTATTCAGCTAAAGCCTCAAAATGTCAGTACAAACAGTACAAATCTTGTGGCATTGCAAGGAGAATATTTAATTGTCTGATTTCCGTTAAAACTAGCTGTAAGCTGCAGGGAGTGTGCTAATGTGGTTAGCCACCGAGAGTTAGCACTGCTTAAAAGAAACTGGCTCAAATTTAGACTTTTGATCAGTATGAAACATCGCAAGAGATGACTACACTTCATTTAAATTCTATCAAAGGGGGCGCCCTGGTGACTCGCCTGGCAGGGCTGGTGACCGTGGGTTCAAGTCCGACCTGTGGCCCTTTGCTGCATGTCATCCCCTCTCTCCCTCCTCCTCTCCTGTCTACCTGAAGCTGTCCTATCGAACATGGCAAAGTGGTGAAGCAGTAAACTGTAAGGCTCCAGTAAAACAAAACTCAAACTACAGCGACTCTTGAACTATGCATTTCCGTCCTTTATAATCCTTTGACGCCTTCTTTCCTCAACTTTGAGTAAGGTCACATTTCTGGCATGTTGAGAAAGTTTTGTTTGAAGTATGGCGAAACGAGAACTCACCTTGGCTTGACTGATATTCTCAGCCAGGTCCTTAATACTTTTTTCGGTCTCTTCCATGAGTTTCCCCACCTCCTTACTCTTCCTTTCCAACAGCAGCTGGAAAGAATACACATCAAACTGAGACAGCAGGCTTTACAAAATCACAATCGTAAATTGGACAGCGTTATAACTGGACTGACAATACATGCTACACTCCAAGCTAAGCAGCTGTGGTGGCGCTGTCTTGCTGTACCTCTTGATTTTCCCTCTCTGCCTCCAACAAGACCTTCTCGTGGTTCGCGCACTCGGAGATGCCGCACTCGCAGCACACAGACATTCTGTCCTGCTTGCAGTAATAAACCAGAGGCTTTTTATGGCGCTCACACAGCAGCATGGCTCTCGCCCCTTCGCCTCCCCTCATGTGCGACTCTCTGAGAGAGGGAGCGGTGCTGTTTGTAGCCTCAGTCAGGAGCGACATGGACACATTACGCTTGAGGATGGGCCTGGTGGGAAACCGCTGATTGCAGATGGGGCAGTGTGCTCCGATATCAGGCTTTACATTGCTGTCCCAGAACTTGGTGATGCAGGCCTGGCAGAAGCTGTGACCGCAGGGGAGGGTTACAGGGACTTTGAAGCGGTCCAGGCATATGATGCAGGTCAGGTTTGAATTCTGAGAATCCATCTCTGAAGAAAGAGCTGACACCTCTGTGAGTAAACAAGAAGAAGATCATGATGTGACAGAACTCAAACATATCATATACATACCACACCATGACAGTAATGTTACTTAATGCTTCGCCTCTGCTTATTAAGAGGTGAATGTCACATTTTGTAAAGTCCTGTATATAAATCAACAGTTTCTCAGAAGGGCAGGAAAACAATAACATAAATTGCCCCAATGTGTGTACTGCCAGTTACCAGACTGTGCAACAAAGCCACGGACGGTCAAGCAGCAATACCAGGCTCAGTCCACATAGTAACGCTGCCTATCACACATTAACTTAGCCAGCTGGAAGGAGAAGCTAACGCGAGCTAACGCTAGCCTGGGATGGTCAGTTCACGTAAGCTAGGGGACTCTTGGGGACAAATAACAGTCAAAGATGAACAGTCTGGTGGTTTAACTGTGTATTAGCGCACATTTTAGACTCGCCGTCTAGATACAACACAAAAATGACACCGAATGAATTCTTACCACTTCAAAAGATGTATATTTGTGCACAGCATCAGTGTGAACAGTCGTCAGACGGAGCTTCCTTGATGACGACACACGCAAAAATGATGCCTTCACGTGTTGTCGGGAAAACGGACAAACGCAAAGGACACAACACGAGTACATGTAACAAGTAACTTTTATTGTTAGTGTTACAATACATTTGCAACAATGATATTCACTATTTGCAGTCACTCATTCGCTACACACTGTAATATCCCACTAACCCAGTTTGGTTTAACAGTAGCTAATAATTACGCACAAAACCAAAAAGCATAATTATTTTTACTTCTGTATGATAAAGGTGTGCTAAAATAGCCTAAAAATAAAAAAGGTCTGTTATACTGGTGAATCTTACTATAATATATAACACGTTACCATTATTGTCTGGTACAGTAAACAAATGCTGTGAGGTAAAGGCGCACAGGGTCGTTTTCATCCTCTCGGCCACCGTATTTTCTGACAGAAAAGGGGACAAACTCACTCCAAGATGGCGCTGCGCACGGGTTGTGCCGTTGCCTTGCGAACTGGGAAAGATTTAGGGGTCAATAATGCGAGGACTTTCATCACAACAGGTATTGTAACGATGCTGCTCATTTACATTGGGTTCACATTTAGGACGTCTGTCACCGGACTTCAGTATTGCACGTACGGCGCGAATGTGTCGTTACATCAGCTTGAAGCAGACTGTTCGTCACACGCTGAGGAGAAAGACATTTCACCAAACCCCATAGAAAAATATGACCATTAAATGTGAGCGTGTGAGCCCCAAGGTTGGCGAAGGGAAACATTTACGATGCGAGATCTAGTTCAAGAGTAGTTACCACTGACAATAAAATGGTTTGAGGAAACACAAACATGAAAGGTGAAACAAGTGCTGCCTGATGTACTGGGCGTATGTTTATACACATGCTAAAGTGAACTGAGGAAAAAAATAGATACATCTTCTTTATGTAAAACTAAAAGTAAACTACTAAATATTTGGAGGGAGTTTCGCACGTAAAGAAGATGTCCTTTGGTTGGTCGAGCCTGCTGATACTGAGGTGGCCAAAAACGATGAATGACCTCTTTTTTTTTTTTTTACATTTTAAATGTGATTTAACAACATTATTAAATTCACAATAACATTACAAGGCAAACATATAGTACAAGAAATATAAAATGAAACCAAAATAAGTACTGTTCATATACAAACGTGTACAAAAGTATAACCTAAATACCACTAAAACTTACAGATGCAGATAATGGTAGGACAACATGACAAACGTTGTGTTGCTATGTACCTAACTGTTGGGGATGTTTCCATATAACAGCTTTCCTCTGCAAACGGGTACCTCCTTTGGGTCCAATGCCAAATGAGGAGATTGACTTGAAAAATCTGCATTCGGTGGAGAGGTATCGCAGCTACAATCGTTACTTCAGACAAGCCGAGGGGGTGAAGAACAAACCTGCCTGGTGGAAGACCTACAGGGGCTACGTGGAGAAAGCTGATCCTGAGCATGGTGAGGAAAACAAAGGAGCTGACTGCTGATAGGGATTCTGTGGTGGTGTGAATGTGGTCGGATTTTATTCCGTCGCAGTTCGAAAACGTTCACAGTTTAAGTGGGTCTTGTTCTTGTTGCAGGCGCAGAGCGAGTGGACATTGGACTGCCGTACTATCGACCCTGCAGGCTCAGAGAAGTGAGGGAGAGGAGGCAGGTGATGAAGGCCAACAAGGAGAATGCTGACTTGGAGAGGGCTTGTCGTCTGCGCACTTGTAAGCTCACACACACTCAGTCCCCCTCCCCACTCCCTGGAAGTGGAAAGTTTCTCTGAGCTCAGTGAAAATCTGATTTTAATTGATAAGTGAAAAAATGGGTTAACTTTTTCTTTTGCATCTTTGTCCCATTAGTTAAAATCCCTCTGGATGTGGTGCAGGAAGTGTGGAAGAAGAACAGTGGTCCACTTCATATAAAGAGACTGGCAGACCACTACGGGGTCTTTAGAGATCTCTTCCCCATGGCTTATTTTCTACCTCAAGTCTCACTCCACATCTGCTACAGCCAGGACAACAGTGGTCAAGTGCATTTTGGGAATCGGTTGACACCAACTGAAGTACGTTAAAGAAACGGAAGTTTACAGGGTCCTAACAACACTTCATTTCCTCCCTGCATTCCGCATCTGTATTGAATTGTATACCTTTATATGTCTTCTCTGACTCTATTCTTTGCTGTGCTTTTGTCTCTAGGCAGCATCAGTCCCTCAGATCAGCTTTGACGCGGAGGACGGCTCCCTTTGGACCCTTCTGCTCACTTGTCCAGGTCAGCTTTCACAGGAGGCACCAGATAATCAGCAACTCTATACCGAATCAGTCAGACAGATTATCAGCTATGGCTACAGAAATAGTGAAAAATATCTGAGCTAGTCTCTCAAAGTCCAAGGATATGTCTTTAAACATCTTGTTTTGTCAGTCCAAAACCCAAAGATATTCAGTTTAATGATATAAAACAGAGAAAAGCTGGAAATCTCCATATTTGAGAGGTTGAAAACAGCATTTTAAAAACAATATAAACATAAAACAATTAATTGAAACAATCATTGCAGCTCTATTCTTAGCACTGACATATTGTCTAAAATCATTTACCATCTTTTTCAGATGAGCATCTTCTGGAGAATGAGGCAGAATACGTCCATTGGCTAGTGTAAGTACTTAAAGTCAACTGTGCTTTAAATGTACAATTAAATAATTTCAATTATCATTACTCAAATGATAAACTATATCAATTATAGTTATTCAATTAACCCATCTTTAACCAGGCAGTTCCATTAAAATTAAAATGCAATTTTAAGAATGGATTATGTTTCTGTAGTGGGAACATACCAGGCGGAGCAGTGCAGTCCGGGGACGAGCTGTGTCACTACCTGCCTCCCTTCCCTGCCAAAGGAACAGGCTTCCATCGCTACGTTTATGTCCTCTTCAAGCAGGAGGGACCAATCAACTTCCAGGAGGATGTCAGGCCATCGCCATGGTGAGCACTCCACACTCTGACAGGAAGCTGACGCTCTTCACAAGTTATTCACTGCACAGGATGACTTCTGAAATACAGTTTTTCTTTTTCTAGTGATGCTCAATAATAACCTTGTGTAGTGATCAGCATGTGTTATTCAATCACGAAAACAAAGATTCCACCACAGGAAGTGACAGATCGTACAATAGACGTGATACACTGACACTGCCTCTGTCCAAAGGTATGAAATAAACAATAAACAAGAGATAATCTGTTAATATGTAAGCTTTAGATTTTGAGCAGATTCAGTTAACCTTTGGACAGAGACATATCCGTGCATAGCATAGTAGAAATATCTGTCCCCGGAACTTGGGGAAAGTTCCTGCGGTGGAAACGCAGCTTAATGTAACCAGGTCTCTTAAACCTGAGAGTTTAGGTGTCAGCAGTCATAAAATCTCTATGAACTGTATTTACCAGTAATAAAATGTTAGTTCAAGTTTGATACAGCAACAAAGACACTAAGCTTGTGCTGCCTCTCCTCCCTAGCCATTCTCTGGTGGATCGAACATTTAAGACGGTGGATTTTTACAGAAAACACCAGGACAACATGACGCCTGCAGGCCTGTCCTTCTTCCAGTGCCAGTGGGATGAATCTGTCACCAACACCTTTCACAACACACTCAGTGAGTCATGCTAATGCGCACAAGCACACTGCAAGGTTTTTGGCCTTCAGACATTTTACAAAAATGGACCAAGTGCAACTTTTTTCATCTGTGTGCCAGTTGCCTGATAATAATAAAGCCTGCCTGTTGTATCTTCCCCCTGCAGACATGAGGGAGCCGGTGTTTGAGTTTAACCGGCCTCCAGTGTACCACCCTCCACAGGTCAAATACCCTCATGGACAGCCCCTGCGCTACCTTGACAGATACAGAGACGGAAAGGAGTACACCTATGGAATATATTGATTATTAGACACACACTCACAGAAAGGAGAAAACACATTCATTGCAAACGTGTCTTTGGCATATTTATGTTCAAATAATAAAGCATTTTTCACCTGTGCTGAGACTGCCTGTTTGATATCAGTTTGTTAGTTGAAAAAAAGTTTGGTTGAAAGAACAAGGGAGGCCACACACAAAGTCAAACAAGTAATTTATTTAACTCAAAATCCAAACATATCAACTAAATGGCGAGATGTGTAAAGATATCAGTCACATCAGTAATGTTAGAGTTGTGTGGTTGAGTGAAATATGGTGTAATGTGTGTTGTATGGTGCAGTGAACCAAAAAAAGAGGGCTGAGGGTCTGTACTGTGGGCCAGGCTAAGAGAGATACATGAGGCCTTTTTTATTTCCCAGTTTGTACATTCTCACCTCCTCGCATCTTAGTCCCTCCTCTTTGTCCAATTTGGCAAGTTTTTAAGACAACCTCTTAACAAGCTATCATCTGGTGTATCCAACTCCTCTAAATCCGCTGCCAAATCAAGAGGTGAGGTAACCCACATGCACCGCTGTGGTAACAGAGGAAAGAGACAACCCCAGACCTGGCACAGAAGAATGAGCAAAAAATGGTTCTAACAAGTTAATGTGACACAACTGCACAGATTTCTTTCTTCTCAAGATTGAACAGATCAGGTCTGACACTTTTCTGGCACCGATCCTGGGAACTTAGCCTGAACAGGTGCCAGACCTTGATCACTGGAGCAAAATTTACATTGTTCTCCTTGCCGATCATAAAGATTTTTCAGCTGCATTTTGGGGCCTCTTTGGCTTGCCAGTCAGTCTGCAGGGAAGCTAAAGGGCCTGGAACTGTGTGACCAAAAAGCAAGTAATTAGGACTAAAGCAGTATGCACGGAAGAGGGACTTTGATGGAGTTTGATGAAACCTTTCCATAGCTCTCTGGCTCTGAGCATGGTACGCACTGGACTGAGAATGTTTAATGTTTACCTGCTTTATCACTTAACACTTCAACAGCAGAAGTTAGATCCCTGATCAGACTGAATAATCTTTGGGAAACTGAAAATTGACATAAACTGTGTCAGAGCTTTCAATTTGGTTTGATTACCTGGTAAGGTTTTCCAGTCAACTGACTTGTGTGGCATGTTTTAATAAAGTCAGAGATGATTCTTTTCAAACAAGGCTAGTAAAAATGTTGTATGACTCTATCATAGGTTTTACACCTTACACCTAAATGACCTGCAATGCTGTCATGAGCAGTCTGAAGTACAGTGAGTCTTAATATTATAGAGGGCAGAACAATTTGCACAATCTGATCCTACAATACTGTCCCCCTGGGGAACCCATTTTCTCACCAATAGGTGATTTTGGAGAAGATACCCACGGGCAACACTCTCTACCTCATCATCTGGAAGAACTTGACTGTACAGAGCCTGAAGTGTGGGGTCACTCTCTTCTTTCTGGCAAGGTCATTGCAAGACAGGTAAAGGAACAGTCTATGGTCTAGGGGTATAATTTTCGCTTTGGGTGGACGAGCCCCCCATTTGTTACATACATAACGTACAACAAAAAGGGAGGCCACACACAGGTGTATCAGTCAAACAAGTAATTTATTTAACTCAAAATCCAAACATATCAACTAAATTGGGACATGTCATATTAGTCACATTAGTAATGTTACAGGTGTGTGGTGGAGTGAAATGAGAGCGAGACTGAGACTCCCAGAAGGACAGTCTTCTATAACTTTCTGAGAGCCACACCCACATGGGCAGGTAAGGCAACCAACCCAAGTATCTGTAAAGCAGACAGCGGAGCAAGGTAAACAGGCAACCAGACTAGCAGACTGGGCGGAGTTTTAATTACAAGTGGACTTCTGTAAAAAGTAAAATTTTGCAATAAAAAATATAATAGAGTCTTTAGTAGCTCCAGAGGGAGCTGCATGAAATCTGATACACGTCCTCAAGTGATGTCGCTCAAGTTAGCATTGGTTGGGGCTTAAGACTACAAGTTTAAAAATGTAAAAAATGGGCTGTGAAGTTAGAAAGAAGTCAGTTTACCAGAGCTCTGTAGCCCACTCCTCATCTCTGCTTGAGGCTACATTAGCTGCTACTAGTAGAAACTCTTGCTTAGCCATGAAGGGAAATACTACCAAATTGTTAATTTAAACCAGTATGAATATTCTATAAAGATAAAAGTAAAGAAAAAAATAGAAAGATAACAGTATTACTGCTTCACCTTTACTCTTTCTTGTACAAGTAACAAAAAAAGCTATCTACTACTACTACTACTACTAAATATTAGTTGAAGCAATATGTGGGTCCACAGTGTGCACTGGGCCTGCAGCACACCAATAAGGTACGGTGGTAAATAAACAGTATTAGGAGGGGTAGTAAATGT